CAGAGGACAGACTTGAGCCATTTTTTGACTCCAAGTCTAAATTCTATCTAGTCTTATTCCTCTGCCCTGTGAATTTGCTTCAGAATAAAAAACTGGGTACAGTAGCCACCCACAACTTTATCAAAGTCACTGAAAGCAGTTCTAGTATATTAAATTATCCGATGATATTTCTGTTGCAAAAATAAACAAAAATGCCATAGAGATATGCCTCTTATAACAGAAAATTGAAAGAAAATTAAGGATAATTTAATTCCCTTTTACGATTCAACACAATTAAGAGATTCATTCCCTGAGATGGTTCTATAAGGTCAATATGAAGTCTTGCCCATGGGCATGTGAACCAGTATTGTGTTGAATCGTATGAAATTGTTAGTTTTGTAGGTCAAGAGCCGTTGATTAGTGGCAATTTCCTATACATCACCTGAAAAGGTACCTTTACTGTATTGTGTTAAGTCACCTAGTGGAACAGAACTACTCTGTTCCAGACTTTCCACTGTCAGAATCAAGCCTGCAGCTATTGGCTATGAACTGTAGTCATTCTTTCCACGTGGACAGTATGCATTTGTGCTGTGTGCAGTGTGCTTTAGAGAGGGTAATGATTGTCTTCCGTAAAAATATGTAGATTTCCCTGTAGTAGATATTATTTATGGGAAGATAACTTATATTGATGGCTTGAGAGTGACTTGAATTTATCAAGCGGCTTTTATTCGATGCAGTTAGAAATCTTCCGTATTATGTGATTTTTAATACTTACCTGTGCCCCACTTTGTTTTATGTAAATATATAAAATAAAAGGAGATACAGTCATTTTAAGGATAAGTGGGTGAGGAATGTGGGGCAAAGGAAAAATGCTAGTAGTAAGAGGATATCCAACCAATGATGAATATAATAAAGATAATGTATGAAATGTGTGCCGTAAGATCCTGTGAGTATCTTAACACTAAGCTTGATAGCCAGTGCAAAGAGGAATAGTGAATTATGAAATTCACAGCATCCATTAGACAGTAGAACCAGTTTTAAAGGAAAAGCACAATTTCTGGTTTTAGGGTCAGAAAGAAAATTCATCAGTAGGGCTTCCTAAAGAGGATAGTGCGACTGTATTGCATTACAACTTTATTAACATCTGTAGTGTAAACACCACAATGGATTTTATAAGGAAGCTTTTTCTTTAAGCAGTTTTCCTCAATGTAGGCCACTAGCATAAATGTGAAAGTGTAACTCAGGAAAGGCAAATCAGTAGGGATTAATGTGATACGGTACAGATTTATAGGTCTGTGCTAAGCAGGATAACCCAGGGATAGAGTTCAGAATATCTAAATGAATAGATGTACAGCTATTCCCTCAGGCAACCCTCCTCAGAGTTTTGATAGATATTGAGAGGCAGAGAGTTCCCTCACATCCCCTGACACAGGGATCTGGAGTACTTTTATTCTGCTTTCTGTTTAGTTGCACTTAAATGCAGAGACACATTTTCCAGCCATCATCTAGGTGAGAACAGGATTAGCATCCTTAAAAGAAAATCAAAAGGCTTGACAAAGACATAAACTTGAATAAAATATGATCCACTTCGAACAGTGAGATGAGTTCAGAACTAACTAGATGTAGGACAGAGAAAAAGTTTAGACACAGATAAAGGAATATCAAAGGTCCTTAAGTCTATTCCAGCACATAACCCATAGCAAAAATCTGTTACATGTGCAAGGGAGACCAGGCTTCGACATTAATGCCATCTCTTAGAAGAAGCAGTTTAACTTTCTGGTATCTTCTTCAAGATAAAATAATTTGCAAGTGTAAATCTATGGACCTAAATGAGTTAACTTGAAGTGATAATGATAATGATGAGGAGGATTGAGAAGATGATAGACGCTTATTACATGTGAGACATTGTTCTGTTTTATATTTAGTGGTTAATTAGACCTTCACCACAAGCCTAAGAAGTACTGTTATTATATAATATTGAGGTATAGAGAAATTAAATAATTTTACCAAGGTGTATGGCTAGTAAATATCATAACCCGGGTTGTAAATCAAAAAGTCTGCTTCCTGGGCTTCCCTGGTGGCACAGTGATTGAGAGTCCGCCTGCCGATGCAGGGGACATGGGTTCGTGCCCCGGTCCGGGAGGGTCCCACATGCCGCGGAGCGGCTGGGCCCGTGAGCCATGGCCGCTGAGCCTGCGCGTCCAGAGCCTGTGCTCCGCAACGGGAGAGGCCACAGCAGTGAGAGGCCGGTGTACCACACACACACACAAAAAGTCTGCTTCCTGAACTTGTGCTCTTAACCACTATGCCATGGAGTTAGGGTTATTAATTGTCAGTCAGTTTGATGTTGAGAAAAAGTTACCTTCCCTCTAAGTGATACTTCTTTTAAAATATGTGCCTTTCTTTTAAATAAGTAATTATGTCTGAGAGTGAATGGTTTACTAAGGTTATTCCTATTTAATTACAGTAAAATTATACATATAATGTCCCTGTTTCCATTTACTATGTCAGGAAGTTATTCATTCTTTCATTTATTTAGCTGATACTTACTGAATGCTGTCTATGTCTAGACAATGTTCTAAAATGCTGAAAATAGAGAAGTAAACAGCACAGACAAGATTCTTGCTGTCACAGAGTTTATATATTTATGGAAAGAGACAAACTATCAGCAAAGAGATAAACAAGAAATTATCAGATAGCAAGAAGTACTATACGGAGGATCAAAGTAGCGTGATGTGAGAGAGGATGACTGGGCAATGATATTTTTGGCACTCTAGGGTATTGTTTGGCTTCCCAAATTTATATATCTAAGCACAAATTCTCCTCTGAAGAACAAAATCATATATTTATCTTCCTGTTTGACATCTCCAATCATAACACTCAAGTGTGCTTGTCTCCCCTCCATACACTCTTGTAACGGCACAATAAATAAAAGTTTTAAAACAATATCGGAGTACAGTATACCTGAATAGTACAAATTCCATGATCTATTTAATACATGTGTTAAAATAAATCCCTTGAAGCTACTTAGGGGGAAAATAATCACTAACAGAATAGGCAACACAAAATAATTGTTTAGTAAATATTTGTTGAGTAAATGAATAAATGGACTGAGTAATGACCTCCAAGGGTCGGTATATATGATTTCCAATGAATTATTACTTTGATAGCCAGAGAGATGAAAGTTATAAGATACGCATCTTTAGAAATATATCACAAAATCTGGTAACTAAATATTTTACATCATCAGAAAAGCAAGCATATTGTTAGGCTTCTGCTTCCAACTATAATTGAGTAACTGGAACCTCTCAATAAGAATAACTATAAAACTGGACAAAAATTACAAAGCAGCTGCTTTTAGGCATTAAACAGCAAGCTGCAGAAAACTACCCACAATTTTGAGGTGACTAATCACCTCAGTCTTCTACTGGAAGGTCTCCTCTCCTAACACAGAGTAGGAAAAATGAAGACAAGCAGAGCATCAGCTCTTGCTGAACTAAAGAGTTAGGAATCTGAATTCCAGGATGCTGAAATGACTGGAAATTTCAGGACAGGGTACAGAGAAAGGGCATTTGCACTGAGGGGAGTGGGGTGGAGTCCAGGCGTCTATGTGCGGATATCCCATGGGGCCTTGTCCCAGGGCTGGGCTGCACATGTGCAGATTGAGACTCTGTGAAGTCTAGCAGAGATCCTATGCTGCGAGGCTGAGGGCTGAGTGGTGATAGAATAGGTAGTGCAGTGCTGGGAGATGTCAAAGTTCTAGCCCTGCAAGGATGAGAATCCTCACTGAACACCTCAGCCCTCATGGCTTAGGAGTGAGGACCACAGTGTCACAGCCAAGTTCAAATCTGAACCAGACAAGCCTTAATCCAAATGAAACCAAGCTTGAAAAGATCAGAAGGATCTGCTAGCAATTTAACTGTCTGACAGAACAAAATTCATAAAGGAAGATGACATAATCCAGACTCTCTACAGCATATCATTCACAAAGTCTAGAAACTAAGATAAAAAGTTACTCCAGGGAATTCCCTGGCAGTCCAGTGGTTAGGACTCAGTGCTCTCACTTAGTTCAGTCCCCGGGTTCAGTCCCTGGGTAAGATCCAGCAAGCAGCCACATGGTGTGGCCAGAAGAAAAAAAAAAGTTATTCCACAAAATTCAATAAAGAGATCTGTTATCAAGAAAAAGCAGTCAGTAGAAATATACTTTTAGAGGACTCAGATATTACAGTTAGCAGACAAGGACTTTAAGGAACTATTATTATAGATATTTTCAAAGGTTTAAAGGAAAAGATTGTCTTGGAGAGTGAACAGATGGGAGTATAAAGAGAAAAATAGACATAAGAATACGGAAATTCAGAAATGTAACAGATCTGCAGTAAAAAAATCATTGTGTTTTATTCTTGGTGCTAGCAAAAGAAAGGTTAAGTGATCTTGAAGACAGATCAATAGAAATTATTGGATCTGAGTAGAAGAAAGCGTTATTGATCTTGAAGACAGATCAATAGAAATGATCAGATCTGAAGAACAGTGAGAAAGAAGATAAAGGGGGAAAAAAGTGAAGAGAGACTCTGTGATTGGTGAAATAATATCAGACTATCCATGTATTAATGATATTATAGGGAAGAGAGAGAGTGATATGAGAAAAAAGATACTTGAAGAAATAAAGGCCAAAATATTCTCAAATTTGTTGAAAAAGGAACCATCAACTTTCATATGTAATAAGCTCAGCAAAACTCAAGCAGGATAAATACAAAAACGACAACAAAAATACAATAAACTCAAATTTCTGAACACTGAAGATGAAGAGAAAATTCTCAAAGCACCCAGAGGAAAAAACACATGATATATACATGTGGATAAAGATAACAAATGAGGGTTGAAATATCATCAGAGATAATAAAGCAGTGTCTCTGCTGAAAAAAAATTGTCAGCTTAGACCTTGGGAATTGAGTAAGTGCCTCTAGGCCCCAGTTCTCTACCTTCCCCCAGAATAACACCCCTAATTTCTTTTTGGGTGACAGGTAAAGGATCTGAGGCACCTCCACCATTTCTTCAGTTCCAGAGAGCTTTATCTGGTGAAACCAAAACCCATAGTCTTGAGGAAAGATCAGCTTTCCTTCTCATATCTGTGGTTTCTCAGATTTATTTGGTGCCAGCTGGTCTAATATGAGTCTTCACAAATGAACGTGGCCTTCCAACTTAAATCCTGCTGTGCTCATTGGCAAACTTTCCTCTAACCTGAGGATGGAGCTGAGAAACGCCACAGCCAAGAGGGTTCTTTGATGAATTCATCAAGACCGGAGACAGAAGTCATCTTGACAGAACACAAGAACCAAGTGAAATACATATAAGTCAAGATCCCTAGTTTTGGAGCCACTTCTAAATATCCTCCCAAGAGTTCTTTTCAGGTTGTTTGCCACCTGGTCCTTCATCAAGTTGAAGCCAGAAGGTTAAAGCCTCTCCCCACCCCAATGCCTACAGTCCCTCCTTGCTTGGGCTGTAATGCTGACATTTTCTTTTTTTCCCCACATTCAGTGATTCTTTGTGTCAGGTTGAATGGATTTTAAAACATGTAGCTCTTCATGTAAACTTTGAATGATGTGTAATATTAAAAACCAAGACCATTCCATTTTTTAAGGGATACTTGGAAACACTCAGAGACGCTTTGGGGTTAATCAGAAGGTCAGCAGAGTAAAAGGAGAATTCCCCACTCCATATACATTGCTGCGGAGTCTCTCATTTTTGCTTCCAGAGGAAAAAAATCTGAACTATATGAGAACAGAGAATTTAAAAATAATAACAATAGGAGAGGTTAGGAGTAGAGTTTTTAAATTGTACAAAAAGATTTAGAGGAAAAGTAATGAGGTAATAATATACTCAAAATACCATTAAAATAAAAATGAAAAAAATAAGATTTTCATTAATATAGGCTAGAAGTCAAGAAAAACATAAATGTGAAAGAAATAAAGTTTAGATTAAAAAGTTTAAGATCTGTGAGATAAAATGTAAGAGAGGTTCATTAATAATTAATAAAACTTCAGCTCAAAATTTATTGATGATTTGAATGTGAGACCTGACACCATTAAATGCCTAGAAGAAAACATAGGGGGTAAGCTCCTTGACATTGGCCTTGGCAATGAGTTTTAGATTCGACACTAAAAGCAAAGGCAGTAAAAGCAAAAATAAACAATGATGTAGTGGAGCTACATCAAACTAAAAAGCTTCTGCCCAGCGAAGGAAAGCACCAACAAAATGAAAAAGCAACCTATGGAATGGGAGAAAATATTTGCAAAGCACCTATATGATAAGTGTTTAATATCCAAAATATACAAGCCAATCTGCTTTAGGGATCTCCCCCTTTCTCCCACAATTTTATCCGTTTTCCCTAAGATGCAGTTTTATCAGCCCACAAAAGTGAGTCAAGGAGATCACTAGTATCAAAGCTCCAGAAGCATTTCCTAGTGAGGCTTGAGATCTACAATGGCAGATGTTTTCAAGTCTCCAGTATCATTTTCCAAGCAGTTTTATTTAAAAGAATATAGTGTAAACTTGGGGAAAGTATTCAAACTCAGTTTACATGCTACCATAAATTAAAAGGTGGATTTAAGGTTAGAAAAATGTCCAGGAAGAAATACACCACCAATAGAAAAAACTATACCACTGAAGAAATAATTCTTAATATTCTTATGGCCAAAGACAATAGCAAGCAATTCTTTAAGAGTGCACGCATCTCTATTCTGGAATATGAATGACATTTTCTAAAAGATAAGCATTTAGTGCCACAGCGTTATGGCATCCTGTGGTTAACGTCAACTCTAGTCCTGCATAGCTGTGTTTCTCAAAGGGTAGCCTGAGCATTACTTGCATCAGAATCAGCTGAAGTGCTTGTTAAAAATTCATATTCTGAGGTTATTCTTAGGTTTCAATCCAAACGTAGTGCATCCAAACTTCTGGTCATGGTACCCAGGAGTCTGCTTCTTTAAAACAACTCCTCTCCTCACTCCCACCTTCCAGTAATTGTTGCATGCACTGAAAATTGAAAAGTCACTGTTGTTAGGTTAAGCATGGATCTTGAAAATCATGATTCTACTCCCCAGGCCCAGAAATCAGTAACTTTACATGTTCCAAAAAGCTCTGATGCTACATGATGACATTTTCCAACAAGCGCTGTTGTGACTCTGCCACCTTTGACATTTGGTTTTTTTAGAAACACACACTAGAGTTTAATGCCAGAAACTTCAGTGCTTTTTTTTTTTTTTCCAGAAGTCTTAACATGGATTTCATGTGTCTTACCATGAATGGGCTGAACCTTAGCAGCCCTCATGTTATAGCCTAATAAAGGGGGAATCTAGACATCTTGGAAACTTTGTTGGAATGTCAAACCCAGCAGTTTAGTCCAGAGCTGCCAGTACAGCTGGCAGCTGCAGAAATGGGTGGATTAATTGGAGGTAGAGCATAACAGGGCAGAAATAGAGGTACAGGGAGGAGGAATTGGGATTCCTGTCAATTGCAATGTTGTATGCAGCATAGGATGCGGATCTTCTGAAAGGCAGTGTGAGAAAATAGACTCATCACAGTCTAAAAAGTCAAGAACAAGGAAGAATGATGCAGTGACAACCACAAGTTCCATGTTAGTTGCTTGGACCAAAATCTTTGGAGTCATTCTAGATTTCTCTCTCTTTCATTCTCACAATCAGTTCCTCAGGAAATTCTTCAAGCTCTACCTTCAATATTTATCTGACCACTTCACCTCCACTATCACCCCTGGTCTGAAACACTATGTTTTGCCTCCTGACAGGTGTCCCTTGTCCCACCACAATCCGTTCTCAACACAGCAGCAGAGCAGTCATTCAAAATCATAGGCTGTGTCACTCCTGTGCTCAAAGCCCTGCCTCTGTGCCACCGTTCACTCCACGTAAAAGCCCTTCTCCCTCTTCTGCCCCTTGTCTCCTGACCCCGTCTCCCATGCTTCTGCCTCATGCTCCTTTTTCTCCAATCCCTTGGACCTCCTTTGCAGTTCCCGTACCACACCTTCTGCCTGGAATGTTCTTGCCCCAGACTTGTGCTTGGCTAATAACCCCATCCCCTCCTTCCATCCTTGTCTCAAATGTCTCTTTCTCAAAGAGGCTAGATGTGATCACCCTACTTTAAATTGCCCACCTCTCCCACACACGCTCTCAGACCCCTTCCTCTACTCTTCTGTCTTTTTTCATAGCCCTTTTTGCCTTATACCATACTATACCAGTTAGTAGTTTATTAAGCTTATTACTTTTAGGTTTCCCCACTCCCTCAATGAGTATTCCCACTGCAAGAAAGCTGATACCTTTATCTATTTTGTTCTCTACTAAATCCTGAGCATCTCTGTGTACCAGTATGTGCCTGGTACCTAGTAGATGTTCAGTAGACATTTGTTGAGTGAGTTACTTAAGTAAATATTCACAAATATTGATCCTGACAAAGTGTAAGGGGAAATTTAGGAGTAATTACAAAGACTTAAGTAGAGAAAAGTAATTACAATAAGAATCAGGTCTGAGCTATGTATAAATAACTGGGTGGGTCAGAAAATCAGAGTGGGCCTGGATCCAAGTAACACATTATGACAATGGTTTATTTGTAGGTGGTAAGTAGTTTTGAGGTTACAGTTCAAGGCTGCCCACAAATCAGGCTTTTGGCCTTTGACTCAGTGTTCCAGGTTGTATTTTATTTTTTAACACCAAGACATTAGAAGGAAAAGCCATAAAATTTCTCTTTTATCAAGTTCATCATCTGTGCAGTGATCAGGAAATGGGACTCTACACTTGGAATTCTATAAATGGAGATTTTGAGAAAAGAATGGAAGATTTCAGGAAAAACAGAAAATCTCATACTGTAGGTATTTACCTCTGTTTGCTTCTAAATAAAGTGTAGAGAGTAATAGTGGCAGCAACCTGCTATGGAGAAACTTGAGTGAATACAAGTTTAGCACCGGTTTTTTTCCCCCAGTAAAACAGGGAAACGTTGATAAAATATGCCAGTGAATATGACTATGCTTAAGTCATTATCACAGATTATTTTTTCTTCAATATCCCATCAAGCTTGGTATTATGGACTGAATTGTGTTCCCCCCAAATTCATTTGTTAAAGCCCTAACCGCCCATGTGACTTTTTTTGGAGATAGGGTCTTTAAAGAAGTAACTAAGCTTAAATAAGATCAAAAGGGTAGAGCCCTAATCCAATAGGACTGGTGTCCTTAGAAAAAGAGGAAGACGCCAGAGATGAGCGCACAGAGAGAAGATTGTGTGAGGACAGTGAGAAGGCAGCCAGAAGAGAGGCCTCATAGAAACTAACCCTGCCGGCACCTTGATCTTGGACTTGCAGTCTCCAGAACTGTGAGCAAATATACTTCCGTTGTTCAAGCCACCTAGTCTGTGCTATCTTGTTATGGCAGCCCTAACAGACTAATACACTTGATCATCAGAACAATTATATTTGGAGGAGCTCAGCAAGTCTCTGGAGCTAGTTGCAGGCCTTGTTTGATTAGATATTCCAACTTTTTAAATAACCCTTTTTAAAGCGAAAGTTGCAGTTCTTTGAAATTCTAACTGCTAAGGTTCTCTGTCATTATATTGTGGATAACATACAGGCTCCAAACTGCTTCTTTTAATTTACATTGTCTATTAATGTTATTTTCCAAGTTAGGGACATTGTAAATGGTAACTTGAGTCAATAATAGTGTGTTGTTGGAAGATTTCGGTGTGACTTTTATATAGATTATTCGACAATATGTCCTGTATTTTTAAAAAAAAGAAAGAAAAAAAAAGGAAAAAAAAAAAAACCTTCATACTGCAGTGTTATGACAGATGGTACATCCCTGTAGTAGGAGAGTGATGTCCTCGTCAAGCTGTTGATACAGTTTGTGAAATTTAAATCCTAATATGATTGACATTGCTATGAAGGTATATATTTTGAACAGTCCCATGTATTTTTAAATGTTCTTGTTTTATAGGAATCAGGGTCCCTGAGAGAAATTACCTGACATATGTTTGTCCCTATAAATACTTAAAAGGATAGCACAGTTCTGTTTTATTTGAGTCAAGACACGAGGATAGTCGAGGGAGTTTGGCGTTGTAAGCATAGGCATATGAACCTCTCTCTGTAGTTTCCTAAAATGACCAGTGGAATATACAAATA